TTTTTTTGTTTTAGTATTTTGAAGTTGACCAATTGTTACTATAAGCAATTAATGATTATAGATGATCTGCACCGTACCCTCACCTAAATTTTTTTTTTGAGTAATCATTGATCAAAATTCAACCAATAAAATTTGTTACTATTTATAGATTTCTTTTTTGTGCACAAAAATTTTTCAAAAAAAAATTTTATTAGTTATTATTATCATTGTAATACTATTTACATAATAAATGAATAGCTTTGGCATTATACAGAAACCAATCTGTAAACATTGTTGGTGATATTGAAAATATTGTTATTAATTCAACTAAAGGTAATAAGCAATTAGATGCAATAGTGAATTGGGTTGGATATGGCATGATTTTGACTCATTTTTAAAAGATCATTTTATTCCTTCACCTCAAATCAGACAATATTATCAAAAAAGATGATATTGTAAAAGTTTATGTTTTAAAAGAATCAAATGGAATTGAAAATCCTTTTTTACTTTTAAAAAATAATTTTGGTTTTCTTGATCATCCAGAGGTTCTTCCAGTAGAACTGTTATCAGAAAAAAGAAAGAAGACTTGTATTCAAAATTCGTCAGCATGTTAGTGGATGTTTATTGTTCAGAACCATAAAATAAAATTTTTTTTTTAAAATTAAATGTGCGCAAATGATGATCATTTCCGAATTTGTTAAAAGAAAAATCACTACGAAAACAAAGACTCAATTGTACAAGATTTTATTATGCTAATATCACTCCTTGTACAATAGAATAAATTGAATCAAAAATCTTGATTTTGGTCCTGAGACCCCAGAGGTTGATTTTCCTAGTCCAACTCCATATATACAAGTATTAATTATGTATGTTCATTAATGATTTCCAACCATCATAATTGTCATCATCATCATCATCATCATTGCCATTGTCACCATTATCATTTTTATTTACCTCTTCAGATTGTAAATTCATGTAATCATCTCTTATTTGGAAATGGATACCAATAATACTCACCAATTCAACATAACCTCTATATTATGTATATATATTATAATAATTTTTCCTTTTGTGAAATTCATAATAAAATATATAGATTTTTTAATTACTCTTTTGATTCACTAAATTCTTGCATCAATCTAACTTCAAGACACAATAAACTCCCAGTTTCTTATCATAAATAATAATAAATAATGACAACATACAGTATCATTTATTATATCAGAAAAAAGCATTTCTTTTTTGTATCATGAACAATATATTTATATTTTAGTTATGTCATTAATTGTATCATTTATTATCTCAGAAAAACGTTCCTTTTTTGCATCATGAGCAATGCATTTATTTTTTTATTATATTTTGTATTCCATATAAACTATCCAGACAAAAACAATTGAAAAAAATTACAGCTGAATGATTGGTCATTGATTCATTACCTTTTAATGTTGTAAATAAAGAAGGATATTTAAAAATGATAAAAACAATTGATTCTGCTGTATAAACTATTGAATAATTAATAAAACGTTCATTAGAATATTTTGTAAACTTCATAGATCTTGTCCTTAAAACTTACTTCAATCACTCCTATACAAACTATTGAATAATTGATAAAATGTTTGTTGTTATGTTTTGTTCATATATCTTGTCCTTAACGCTTACTTCGATCACTCTACACTATTGAATGATTGATAAAATGTTTGTTAGTATGTTTTGTTCATAAACCCTGTCTTTAACGCTTACTTCAATCACTTCTATACAAACTATTGAATAATTGATAAAATGTTTGTTAGTATGTTTTGTTCATAGATCTTGTCCTTAACGCTTACTTCGATCACTCCTATACAAACTATTGAATGATTGATAAAACATTTGTTAGTATGTTTTGTTCATAAATCTTGTCCTTAACGCTTACTTTGATCACTCCTATACAAACTGGATCTTTAATCTTTATTATCCTCAAAAAAGATGATTCATTGTCATCGTTTGCATATTATTGTTTAATGTTACTATAACAACTATTGATTGATTTATATTCATAATAATCATTAATGGAACTTTAATCAATATAAAGTCAGAAATATAAAACAATCATTAATAAAATACCTTTAGTTTTTGCTGAATCCCATCTACATAAATTCTCATGACTATTAAAATTTTCTATAAAATAGTTTTTTGTGAAACCCTCTAAAACTTATTAACCAATACCCCCCATAAAGTAATGACCATATGAAAGCTTAAAGTATTCTACACCTTCTCATTTACTATCAAGTCTTTTAAAGCGATATTGAGAAATAATCTGAGCTTTGAAGTGAAAAAGCAATACTGTTTTTGAATAGCCGTGAATTCATGTAGAGAAGACCTTTCGATATGAAAGAGTATTCATTAGAAAGCTTTAATGGAATACTTTCATTTTACTCTAACAACGAAGTTCAAGTTTATTATAAAAATAACGAGATATTTTAAAAAAACTTCATGTGACATGAATTTCGAGTTTATTTTCACATATAGAAAAGCAGCCTCAGGGAAATGTCACACAACTATTAGTGGATCCAAGTTCAAATTAATTACGGATCATGCAGCATTGAAATATTTAAACAACATGAAGGAACCGAAAGGAAAATTAGCTCATTGGATTATGACATTACAATCATATAATTTCGAAGTAGAACATCAATCAGGAAAGAAGCATCAAAATGTAGATGCAATGTCTAGAATAAAAACGGGATACTGGGATTAATTAATTAGATAGAACATTTTAATTAATTAGTATTATATATATAACATATATTTTTATTTTCTTTTTTTTCTTTTCTCATATATTATTTTTATCATTTATATCATTTATTTAATTGTTACTTAACTTTCTAATGGACATGATGACTTGGTGGATGATCATGACAGTAATGCATGGATCTGGTTGGGGTGCATTACACTTTAAACTTTATATTTTGCGTTTTTACACTTTAAATTATATTAGTTAATATTATCCTTATTTTTTTTTTGTTACACATTTCATATATTATTATCTAATTACATATTTATATTACCTTATATTCTTAATTTAAATTTTTTTTTTTTTTTTGTAGAAAATTTAATTCCTTCAGGAAAACTTTTCAGCGATTGTTTATATATATATCTTACGAACAACACTAGGACTTTCAGTAGACTCTCTTGGATTCAAAGTATTATTCTTAAGAAGTATATGTGAAGGATCGTTGAGAATTACACCATGGATTTAAACTTGTATTACAACTTAGTAAAATATCTATTGGGATTTAATTTTTCCAGAATCATCTACGGATGAAGAATAAAAGAAAATAAGAAGTCAATCAAGATATTTCATAGTAAGAGAAGGTATCCTATACAAGAAGAATAGGAAGAACCCTCATAGACCCCTTCGGGTGGTAAAACCAAATGAGGTAGAAATTATTTTACATAACTTACATGCTGATTCATTGGCTGGACACTTTGGAATTGATGCAACCTATCATAGGATTGCTGAAAGATATTACTGGAACCAAATGTATAGTGATATAAGGGAGTATGTTCGAACTTGTGATGCATGTCAACATAGGGGTGGGCCTACTAAACATGAATATCTACATCCAATTAAAGTTGAACAACCCTTTGAGAGATTAGGAATGGATATTGTTGGACCTTTGCCTGAGACTAGGAAAGGAAACAAGTATATGGTAGTGGCAACTGAATACTTGACTAAATGGCCAGAAGCTAGGGCGATTCCTGATGCAAAAGCTGCTTCGGTGGTACAATTCTTCTATGAAGACATAATAAGTCGTCATGGTTCCCCTAAAATATTATTAACTGACCAAGGAACACATTTTCTTAATCAAATGTTGGATGAATTATGTAGAGTGATGGGAATAAAACACAAATTATCATCAGCATATCATCCTCAAACAAATGGATTAGTAAAAAGATTTGTACATGCTAACCAATTAAAGTCATACAAAGAACAACACATGGAAACACAAATAATTGTATAACTAACTCTAAAACAATCAACACATTAATTACAAAACATTATAAAAATGGAATTGCAATAATTTACTTCAGGAAACTGTTTCTATTTCGACGGAGCTCAATGTTGATGAGGGAGAGGTGTTACCGGAATTAAATTTGGAGGCTCTTTTGGCCGAATTTAACTAATTCCGAATTCTTAAATTTTATTTCATTAATTTAGTATTATTTTTATTTTATTTTCGTTTTTATTTTATTTTTATTTTTATTAATTATTTGTATAACGTCGTAATTTAGTTAACTTATTTAAGAAAGAATCGTCTTGGGATTAGAGAGTTTCGCAACCGTGCGAAAGTCAAAAGGTTTTGCCATAAGTCGAAACTAGT